GGGGCGGAAACGGGTGCAGCCTTTGCCAGGTGGGGAAGCTGTGAGCCCAGGTAAATCACAAACTCTGCGGCTGAAATCCCTTGAGCACACAGCAGAGCTTCAGGCTACATGGTCTCTAAGACACTTCCGGCCTTAATGCCGAGTGCTCATCAACCCAAAGAGCTTCTGCCTGTCCTAGCAGAGGTCCCAATCCTCCTTTGCCCCTCTGCAGGGAAGAGGCCACCTTCCTGCCACGTGTGCTCTGAGCACTGCACTCTGGAGCTTGTGACCCTTGGTTCTCCTTTTCTCTTGTTTTGTACTCAACTCTTCCTCTCTGAAGTTTTTTCCTACTAGCACTTAAAGCGCTACCTTTCTACACCTTCAATGCAGGAAAGTGGATTTGCACCCTTGTCTGTGATGGAGTGGAATATCTAAGACCAAACTTTCTTTCCTGTTGAAAACATGAATACACTTGATCTTAGCCAAAAGGCCAAGAAGCGATGAAAACATGAATAAATTAGACAAAATACACAGAAAAAACAGGCAGTGTAGGGATGCTGATAAAAAGGAATAAATTCCCTTGCTTGGTGCACTTTCCTGGCCACTGTGCAGGGGCGGCACCCAAGCAGAGCTAGAGGTTTTCCTGAGGAACAGGAAGTCAAGGTGGCTGCACTCACCAGGCAGAGTACGGGAGAGGAGGGAGTTATGTGAAAAATTAGTTCCTCACATCAGCATAGCGGCTGCTGGATTCTTTGTAAAGAATCAAATGGCTACAAGCAGTTGTGCTCAGTAAGATAAACCTCAACATCACCAGGCAAAGAAATCCACAGAGGAATAGTCTCCTCTGAAAACAGAGGGCTCGGTGACATTTGAGTTATATCGAGCCAGAGAGATTTGTTTGAGAAAGCACCTGGATGATTGCATAAAGACTCTAGAAGGGTCAGTTAGAGGTAGCACTAAATCAGCCCTATTTGGCATGCTGACAAAGCTTAAAAAACAAGCCTCAAACATTTCCAGCTATTTCACAAGTAATTCAGTTGCCTGCCCAAACTAACTTCTGCACTTTTTAAAAGAAGATAACAAAATCCAGACACTCAGCAACCTCACATTTACAGTTTCAGGGATACACAGTCAGGGTTCAACTATGAGTATAGACAACATTTGTCTCTTGGCTCAAGCATCCATCTGGAAGAGCAAGGAGCAGTTGGGCACAGGAGGGAGTGGAGTCCCAGGGATCAAGACTAGGGTGACTCCCTGCCCTGGTCCAGTGGGAGGTCCGGCTTCTTAGAAGGCCACCCCTGGGCATGTTCTCCTACTTTCAGTGAGCGGAAGTCTTCCTTGGACAAATTCGAGGACTGCTGGCTCACAGGCAGATGGCGACGCCTGCCCTGACCCTAGGTGATTAGGTCACTGAAGGATTCTGCTGGTGGCACAGAAAATCTGGAACCACTTGACAATACTCATCTCAGCTCCTGATGTGGGACCCCTCTCTGTGTGGGCTTACTCGCTCCTTGCATTTGGTCACTGTCACCATTCAGGCTTGTCAGGCCCCTCCCTGCACTGTGGGGGTAGGGCAGAGTGGTGCGCACCGCCAGGAAGAAGCGAATGTGTCCGAGTGGAAACACGATGGTGGGGAGCCAGGAGAAACACTACACCACCCTCCAGTCTCTCCCTATGTGGAGCTCACAGGGCTGCAGAGCCTGGGAGGAAGACGGGTTCAGTTCAGGAGAGGGCGGAGGGATACTCAGTCAAGGCTTCGGTGACGGCTGGTTGGTCTGGCATGCTGTGAAAGGTCCCGCAGACATGGGGGAGGTGCGGCGGGGCCGGGGGCAGGAGTGGAGTCGAGGCCTGCTCCAGCTTTGCATTTCACTTGGGCAGAGAACAACAGGGCATGAAGCTGTGCAGGATGGCTGGTGCGGGTGTAGACATCTGGTGATGCCTAAGGCCTGAAGAGGCAGGAGGCCGAAGGCCTAGGCTGCAATTTGCCCCAGAGACCCCTAGCGAAGTGGTTTTCAGCAGAGGGGTGTCATTCTTGGGGACCTAAGTACAGGATGAAACCCACCTCCTAGAAGGGCTCTGCCTAAGTGACTGGGAGACAGGTCAGGCACCTCCAGACCCTCGTCTCTAATGGACTGGTCTGCCACGTGGTGAGGATTGCTCTCCATTACACTTTAGACAAGGCGAGAAGTAATTTCAAGATGCTCAAAGGGAAGAGGAAATCCCCCTGTACACCAACAGAAGGGAAGCTGACTTCTGCCCAGAAAGGCAAGGTCCCATCTATATATAGGTCATTTCCCCCGTGGCGCCTGGGGACTTTGGTCAGTCACTTCCCTAAGCAAGTGGGCTGCAGTCTCAGAGGAGGTGGCTTCCATCTGTTCCCTGTGCATTTAAAAGAGCAGTCGATGAGGGTGGGCTAAGCTCTCTCCAGTCCCTAGGGATACAGCCCAAGCATCATTTCAGTATTTCAGGTTTTCTTGTCTAGAGGAGTCCAAGACCTTTTGGTTTTAGCTTGATTTTCTAAAAGCGCCTCCAGGAATATGTTTCAGTAGTGAATGAACCTCCTTCTTCAAACAACAGCCCATACAGACAACGCAGAAAAACTCAGGACTTTGTTAGCATAGATTTATTTTATGACTTCACAACAGTAGGATCTGACTTTGTAGAATGTCAATCAATGACAATGAGGTCATTTTCACGAACCCAAAAGCACGTGAAATCAGGGTGTAATGGATGACAACACATCACTCTGGTTACACAGTATTGAGAAATATTCTCTAGAAAGGCAAATGATCACAAATGTCACCTTAAAGTGCTTTTCTTATAATCTCAAGGTATTCTTCCTTAAACGAAGAATGTTGTTTCAAAGTCAAGTCACTAACAACTGTCAGCAACTGCTGGAATACTTATCACAAATACAAGACGTTTCTAATGCAAAGGCATCATAAGCGGGCCAGAAGATAACTTCTTTACTTGTTCCTGCACAACCGGAAGAACAGTAAGGAGAGCATGCATTAAACTGACAATAAACATCACGAAAACCCCAAGAGCCTCCACATAGTGACCTCTCTCTTCTAAGTTCCGGAGGTCAGTGAAGTGCTTCCAAGGTTATTACGCCATTGGACCCTAACAACCACAATGTACTCTCCCCATCCCATTTTCAGATGAAGAGACTGAGGTTTGCAGAAGTGAGGCAATTTGTCTGGAGCATCACAAATCTCCCACAGGACTGTACATCAGCTGTATCAGAGCTCTGCCTAGTACGTAACTAGATGATGCTCATTTGTGTGGTGCTAGCACGCTTACTTGGCATGCAGGGCTCTGATTTGAACTCTCCATGAGCTACAGCTTTTAAATCTATGGGCAGTTAAAGGAAGTTTGGATAGGGTCACGGATACCAGCAGGAAAGCTTTGTTTGAGGCCTACACAAAGTGGGTTAATCTGGAAACAAAAGCAAACCTGCTGGTAAATGCTGAGTGTTAACACTGGTTCATCAACACATTTGAGACTGTCTGTCCTTAGATAGTGAAAGGGTGTAAAGCACATTCTGAAGATGGGACTGCTGAAAAAAAATCTCTGCAGATCTTTGAGAACACAACCTGAAAGCCACAAGAAGGTGGAGAGCAGAGAAGCCCGAGTCTGAGTCCCAGGCTTCTGTCTAGGCTTTTTATATCGAGACCACTGGACCCACCTGAGCTTCAGTTTCTTTCTCTTCACAAAGAGCAAAAATAGGGCTGGGGATTTAGCTCACTGGTTCCACCGCCTGCTTCACAAATGCAAAGACCCAAGTTCGATCCACGGTACCAAAAAAAATCCCAAAACAAAACAAAACAAAACAAAAAATAGTAAAAATAAAAAAACTCAAGAAAGGGCACAGCCGCTGCACGTTCAGTGAGACACTGGGAAATTCCTTACACATTGCAGACCTTCAACAATTGTGAGGTTCTCTCCTCTTTGCCCTTTGTTGCCACTCAAAACCTTCGTCTCTAACCAGACTGGGCTGATGGCTACATGCACAGGTGCCCTGCGGGTGCTGCTGTCCTCCAACACCCACCCTTTTGCTGAGGCCGTCTCTGTGCGCTGGGCCTCCTAACAGCAGGGATGTGGCTGCCTCAACTGTATCTTCAGAGCCCGATGCACCAGAGCCACCTACATCAGTGGTGCCAGCCATTCCGGTACCAGCCGTGGGCCTTGTGGAAGGAAGTTTTTCCTTGGACTGGGCGGGGGTGGTATGTGCACGATTTGGGGATGATTCAAAGGAACAAATGGGCCAGATCCCCACAGGCGCATTTCACAGTAGGGCTCGAGCTCCCATGAGAATCCAAATGGTGCTGCTCATCCGGCAGGAGGAGGAGCTCAGTGGTGACCTGAGCAGTGGGGAGACAAAGCTTCATTCCCGCACTGACCCCTTACCTCTCGCTGTGCAGCCCAGCTCCCCAGGACACCGGGTAGGAAGGTGGAGGAGCACTTCCCAGGTAAGAGGAGGAGACCTATAGGAGGTGTGTCCTACTCCTCTGTCCACGCCTTCCCTACACAGATGGTGCCCAGGTCAGCTCCTCGCCTGGCCAGAAGCTCCCCATAAGCCCGCCCACCTCGCAGGTTCACAACTGCTTAGCTGTCCGTGGTGGCCGGAGCGCTCTAACTTTTTGTACTGTCCCATGTGCTCAGGGCTCAGCGGGAACTTGCTGATTTGAGACAGGTAAACCCATGGCAGGTCAGGCCACTTCCTTTTTTTTTTTTGGTACCGGGGATTCAACTCGGGTCCTTGCGCTTCCAAGGCAGGCCACCGAACCGCTGAGCTAAATCCCTGGCCCAGCCATTCTGTTTTTCGAACTCATCACAAAAGCTATTTTTTTCTGATGTCAATTTTTCCTTCTGTTGTATGAGTATATTTTGGTCTACTTATTTAAAAGGGACCAGAAATATGGTTGTTTCACATTTCTTCAGGCTTCCTACTTAACATTTAGAATTTAATCTTTTATTCATTTACTTTTTTTGTTGGTCCTGGGGATCAAACTCAGGACCTTGTGCTTTTGAGGCAGGCAGCGGAACCACTGAGCTAAATCCCTGGCCCTAATGTTTTATTTATTAGCAGTCTACTTAGGGTTTAAAAACGCCAGATATTTTCCCCCCCTAAAAAAAAAAAAAAAAGCAAGATTTGGCTCAAATCCCTTGATTTCAACCCTGTACATTAAAGGAGAAAATAATTCTGTAAAAGTCTTAGCCTAATCAAGCGAGGGTCCTCAGTCTGCTGGCTGGGGGAGGCCACTCCTAGCTGGCCTTCAATCTTCTCTCTCAGTATCCCAGTGAGCACAGCCACCTCCTTTCTGTGGCTCCCTGATATTCTCATTTTCAAAGGAGGCCTCTTCCTCCTCTTCTTCCCGTATCACCTTCCTCAACTCCAGGAAGCTGGGTGGCCATCCCTGGTCCTTCAACTCCGAGGCGACACTAGAGGACCCTGCTGAGGCTGGCCCTGGCCATGATCTGCTCCAGGCGGACCTGGTTGGCGATATTCCTGGGGATGGCCTGCTTCTCCACCGCTCTCTGGAGCAGGGGTTCTACCTGCAGCACATAGGCCGAGACCTTCTCCCCTTCCTCCTGACAGGTCTTCAGGTACCTCACCTGGGAGGATCTGCAGCTCTCCATGCTCCCGAGCACCTGTTTAAAGGCCTCCAGACAGTCTTCCACGCCGATGGCTGGGTTGTCGGCCTGCTATGCACGAGGTCCAGGGCGGGCCCCGCAGGCTCTCCATCAGCCACCTCTTCTTTTCAGCCTCTGTGTCAGGCCATTCTTTGACTATCTCAGTGGCCCTTTCCAAGCAGACCTCAAAGGGCTCCTCCTCTGTGGTGGGCGCGGTGCTCCCAGAAAAGACTCTCAGCTTCCGGTACTTCAAGGGCTGAGGGGCATGTGCCATTGCCTGTCCCAACAAATAGGCAAAGAGCTCTGGGTAGATGCAGGATACAGCAGCTGGAGACACTCCCTCATGCCCAAGGGCTTGGAACATACCTGAGACTGCCTGTCCCTCTTTCTTTCGAGAAATCCAGCGTCCTGGTTAGGGGTCTTGAAGATCACTTTCCAGATACCCCCCTTTCCCTGTACCTCGCTGGGGATCCCTGAGACATCAGGATCTTCCAGGAGCTCTAGCAAGACAGCGCTGGCATTCTCCTGCTTCCGGAAGACCTTTCCAAGCAGTCTGTACCGGCCCATGCCCTTCCAGGCCTCCTGCAGGATGGCCTGGGTCTTGGCCTCCCCACAGTCCACCAGGATGCCTGTCACCATCAGTGACTTCTGAGAATGCCTGCCCATGATGCCACACCAGTCCTCTAGTAGTGCCACTGCCATGGTCCCAGACAGAGTGAATGCTGCTGTCACTCTGAGGCACAGAGTAGGGTGCAGAGGCACACAGTCTTAGCAGGGACCAGAAGTCCTAGGGGAACTTCTAAACCATAACCCTTGAACACAGGTCCCTGTGTGGCAGTCTTCAGGCCCAATAACCTGTCCTTGCTCAATGTCAGGAGCTCAACACTTCCTGACTATCCTCAGACCCCCGGGCGGGTGGAAGCGGCTTGGCTCAGTCATCACAGTGCCACTGCCTATGGGGCCAAAGTCCACGGCAGTCATGTGGAGGGGACTCTTCTCTGACAGCCAGGTACCTCACGTCTCCTGGTCTCCGTGTCACTTCTCCTGCCCTACTTGGTGGTGGGGAGATTCCTTTCACTCTGATCCTGGAGAGAAGTCTCACGTGGCAGCTTGGCTCTTGGAGAAACAATGCTCCGTTTTACCACAGCCCTCCTGGCCCCTGCTCCAGTTTGCGATGGACCTCAGGGTGCACTGTGGGCTCTGCCACCCTCTCTCAGACCCCTTCTCTGCTGACCCTTCCCCTGGAGGCCCCATGCAATCTCATCCCCCTGCCATATGCTCATGAAATCAGATGCAGCCAGATGCCTGTTTTTGTGTTCCAGAATGTTCTGAGAGTCAGGAGCTTAGACACGAGCATCTAGGAAGACATCACTCACCTCCCATGATGCACGTATGAGTCTGAGCCTAGCCACGCCAAACTGCCCGGTCACACATGTAAGGATAACGTCATTTCATGCCTAATATTCAGGGATGAAGATTAATGTGCATACTAAAAAATACGACAACCTAGTAAAGAAGGATGAAAAGCAGAATAAACCTTCAGTTTAATTATTTCTTTTCTCTCTCTTTTTTTTTTTTGGTACCGGGGATTGAACTTGGGACCTAAGTAGCTGTTTAATTATTTCTACTAAAAAAGATGGAGTTGTTCCATTTCTTTGATTTAAAAATCAACTGTGGTGGCCAGATGTGGCGATGCACACCTGTAATCCCAGCACTTGGGAGGCTGAGGCAGGAGGATTGCTAAGAGTTCGAGGCCAGCCTGAACTATATAGTGACTCAAAAAAAAAAAAAAGCAACTGTGACACATACTTATAATCCTGCTATTCTGCAGGCTGAGGCAGGATATATATATATACTTCAAGGCCAGTGTGGGAAATTTAGTGAGAATCTGTCTCAAAATAAAAAATAAAAAAAAGCTGAAAGTTGAAAGTGTAGCTTAGGGATAGAGTGCCCCTGGATATAATCCTCATAAAAAAACAATGGCAAATTATTAAGACATTTAGAAATAACTTAATGTAGGTATAACAATTAGAAAAACAGGGCTGGATTCAGTGGTGCCCATGGGTAATCCCAGTACTCTATGAGGCAGGATTGCAAGTTTACACCAAGCCTGGTCAATTCTTTGACTCAGTGAGGCCTTGTCTCAATATAAAAATACAGTAAAAGGGTGCGGGAATTTAGCTCAGTTTGAAGGCCTTTGTATTACAAATACTTTAAAAAAAATTTTTTTAAAAAACCACAGGGGCTAGAGATTTAGCTCAGTGGTTCTGCCGCCTGCCTCACAAACGCAAGGACCCAAGTTCGATCCTTGGTACCCCCCCAGCCCCCCGAAAAAAGAAACCACAGGGCCAAATAAGTCAAGTCTGGAATCACAAGCGAATCCCCCATGTTGTGTCTTTACAAGTGCTCAGCAGAGATTTCCTTGGCCACGGACGGAGAGTTGCTAATACCTTTAACGGATCATTTGAGAAAAAAAAATTTAAAAATGCAAAAGGCACGAGCACGGTACCACGGAGCAGTTCTGGAGAGGGAAAAAAAGTCCCAGCTACAGTTATGATTAGTAGGCCGCAGGCGCGCCTTCTGAGCGTCTCAGCGGGCAATCTCGTCCCGGTGTGAACGCCATCACGTACTGCGCATGCGCACTAATAGGACGCCATCACGGAGGGGACTCAGAGACGCGTTCTAGCGAAGCCACCTCTTGGCGACCGGAAATGCTATTTGTGCATAACTGCACCTCCCAGTGAGTGTGGCGCGGGTTACAACTGTTTCTCCCTCGTTCTGAAAATCTGTAGCAGTCCGAATGGTGTCCAGTCACACAGCAGCTCCAGAGTCCTTCCGGGAGGTCCAGAGAGGAAGAGGGAAAATGCTACCCCGAGGACCTGGGACTGCTGACTTTTCCAGGGGCCCCCCCAGGCGACCTCTGTCCCCACTGGAGTAAAAGAAACTGAGATATAAAAAGGCACTGAAGCCGCCTGCCACAGGACCTTCAGCAGAGCAGGGGAAGACACACCCTTGGTACACAACAGGACCGCAGACAGAGATGTGGACATGGGCAAACGTAGGTAAGGACTCATATTTTCTCACATAAAGGGGCCCACAGGACCAGGCTTGGAGCTGGAGGAGCCCCTGGGTTAACAAGAACCTTGACCTTGGGCCCCGCGCCTGGATGTCTTGACCTCATTCCTGACGTGGAAAGGGGATGGGGAAGCGTGCGTGTTCATCAGCTTCTGGGTCAGGAAATAAGGTGATGGGCGCCGGTGTTCTCGGGTGCCTGCCTGGCTGGCTTCTCCGCCCTGTCGGAGGTGGATTCCCCCTCTCCAGGGAAGCTCATCTTCAAACGGTGACAGGAAGTCTTCCACATTTAACCCTCCCTCAAAGCTGGGAGGGCAGTGGGCACTGGCATTAAACTCTCCCTGTGGGCTGACTGACCAGGGGACCGGTCACACTGACTGGGTCACACTGCCATGCGCGACCCCTCTAGGCCCAAAGCCAGTCACTGAGCACATAGTGACTTCCAGCCAAAGAATAAGCATTGTTTCTGCAGCTTTCGGCTACGCTGGAAGCAGAGGCTGGGCTGTTAGTGGACTGGATGAGAGGACAACAGCAAGGAAGGGCAGCAGACGTGTGTTCCTTACACGGATCAAAATGTCCCTCGGGAGCTACCAACCGGCGGCGCAGCACCGGACACCCTTCCCGGCGTGGCCCCACGCGATTCGCCGCACACTCTGCCAGCCGGCACTCGCCCCTGTACGCGAGCGCGCCGCTCTGGCGCAGTGCGCAACAGGGGCGGGGTGCCTGGCAGCGTGCAGAGACTGAAAGTTCAGGCAGTGGGCTTCGATCTGCTCACACCCTCACCTTTTCCTGGTGCTGGTGGTAGGGAACACGCCAAATCATGACACTCGTGGGCCCTTCTTGGGGCGGTGGCATAGCGTGGTGCACGGAACCTTGGGGAATAACAGAGGGTTTTCGGCCTTTTTCTCTTATGCTGTCGCGCAGGGCTGGACTCTGCAGACCCGAGGCCTCTGTCTCTCTCTGGCCCTCTCGGACCCCCGCAC